GTGGTTGAACAAGGCCTGAAGGGAGAGAAGGAGTGGGAGGAAAGAAAGCGGAGGAACGCCGATGAGGCGAAGAAGAGGAAGTGGGAAAGCCATGGCCCACAAGGTTCTAACAAAAAGGGGAACCACGGGGGAGGAGGATCGTTCAGGGCACCGGCGCCGCCATCCAAGGGAAACTCGGCTTTCGGCGGGCACAACTCGGGCTCACAAGCCTCGACAGCGCCCAGGTGCCGAAATTGCAACAGGAGCCACGCCGGTAAGTGTCGTGACCCTCCTCGGTGCTACCAATGTGGAGACACGGGGCATCTTAAACCAAATTGCCCTCAACTTGGTGGAAACCGAGGGGCGGGATCAAGCGGCGCTACTACGGCAAGTAGAAGTCGGACCGGAGCACCCCATGCTAGTACGGGGCAGGGGGGAGCGAGCGCCAGCAACGCGCCGTCCGTGAATCAAGGAAGGACGCAAGCTAGAGTCTACGCAATGACCGAGGCCGATGCTCGGGCCAATCCCGACTCCGTTGCAGGTAATACACGTATTCCCATGTATTTCTAGGCTTATCTGGGTCATACGAGTCATTGGGTTTGGGTGCGGGACACCCCGGGGTCAAACCCCGTGAATTCGGAGCGAAATGGGCTAAAAACAACTACGCGCGGTCGCGCGTACCTACAGACGCACGACTGTGCGTGCGAGGCAGCAGCCTTTGGCCATTTTCCGCGCAGACGCACGCCGTGCGTGCAGCTAAGGCACGCCGTGCGTGAGACGCACGATCGTGCGTGACCAGCTACGCACGATCGTGCGTAGCCGGCAGTGGCGGGTTTCGATTTTCTCACTCACGCACGACCGTGCGTGCCACCCAGGCACGCCGTGCGTGGACCCCCAACCCCCGAAAATTGATTTTTTCACCCCGTTCTTCTACGTTTGGACCCCCGTTTGATTCCAAACCTTAGTATTGACTTAATAACCTCCTAAAGATGTGTAAAAACATTAGAAAATGTATCTTACATGGTGTATAAATGTAGGAACATTAAAGATCAATGGTAGGTGTGCGAGGATCCTCATCGATACCGGGGCACAACGCTCATTTGTGAGTGAGGCGTTCGCCGAGGGACTTGACGTGCCGTTGACACCTATGACGCAAACGTTGCTAGTCTCCACACCGTTAGGGGACGATGTGGAGAGAAATCATTACTATCCATCATGTGAGGTGGAAGTGACGGGTCAACCCTTGACTTGTGATTTCGTACCTCTAAGCTTGTTGGAGTTCGATGCAATCCTAGGAATGGATTGGCTTGAGAAGCACCATGCTCGAGTAGATTGCTACACCAAGGTGTTGGAGCTCGAGGATGAGCAAGGAAACACGCTATGTTTCGAAGGAGATCGGGGGAAATCAAATGTTTGCATCATATCCGTGATGAGAGCGCGGAAGATGATGAGAAAAGGGTACCACGCATACCTTGCTTACGTGGTAGATGATACGAAGAAAGAAGTCGACATCAAGGATGTTCGAGTCGTGTGCAAGTACCCGGACATCTTTCCCAAGGACCTACCGGGGCTTCCACCCGATAGAGAGATTGAATTTGTAATCGAAGTGGAGCCGGGAACCAAACCCATTTCGATTCCTCCTTATCGAATGGCACCGGCCGAACTTCAAGAGTTGAAGGTCCAACTACAAGAACTATTGGACAACGGGTTCATCAGACCCAGTCATTCACCGTGGGGAGCACCCGTACTATTCGTAAAGAAGAAAGATGGTACACTAAGAATGTGTATTGACTACCGACAGTTGAACAAGGTCACCATCAAGAACAGGTATCCCTTACCGAGGATTGATGACTTGTTCGACCAACTTCGAGGGGCAATAGTGTTCTCGAAGATTGACTTGAGGTCGGGGTATCATCAGTTGAAGATCAAGGAGAGTGACATACCTAAGAGTGCATTTCGCACTAGATATGGTCATTACGAATTCCTTGTGATGTCGTTTGGTTTAACCAACGCACCGGCGGCATTCATGGACTTGATGAACCGTGTGTTTAGTGAATACTTAGATCAATTCGTGATAGTATTCATTGACGACATCTTGATATACTCCAAGAGCGAGGAGGAGCACGAACACCATTTGAGGCTTGTACTTGATCGGTTAAGGGAAAAGCAACTCTTTGCCAAGTTCTCAAAATGCGAATTTTGGCTCAAAGAGATTGGTTTCCTCGGTCATGTCATATCCGGTTCGGGCGTTGCCGTGGACAACGCCAAGATTAAAGCTATTATGGATTGGGAGAGACCCAAGAATGTGAAAGAGATACGTAGTTTCCTTGGCTTAGCGGGATACTATCGTAAATTTGTGGAAAAATTCTCCGTATTGGCGTCTCCATTAACGAAGCTCACAAAGAAAGGGGCCAAGTTCATATGGGACGACAAGTGTGAGAAAGGGTTCCTTGAACTGAAGAAACGACTTACCGAAGCACCAGTACTAGCCCTACCTATACAGGGGATGGGGTATGATATCTACAGTGATGCTAGCATCCAAGGACTTGGATGTGTACTGATGCAAAACGGTCGAGTGATTGCCTATGCTTCTAGGCAATTGAAGAAACATGAGGCGAACTACCCTACCCACGATCTAGAGTTGGGGGCGGTAGTGTTTGCACTAAAGATTTGGAGGCATTACCTCTATGGGGAGACATGTCACATTTTTACCGATCATAAGAGCTTGAAGTACGTATTCACTCAGAAGGAGTTGAATATGAGACAAAGGAGATGGATGGAGTTGATCAAGGATTATGACTTGATCATCGACTATCATCCCGGAAAAGCAAATGTAGTGGCCGATGCACTGAGCAGGAAAAGTACGTCGGGGACATTACTCACATGTCTACGAACTTTGAGGGCACAAGTGGAGATGCCCACGAGTGGGGTCCTCATTGCTAGATTCGAGGTTAGGCCCACATTGCTGAGTGAGATCAGTAGATGTCAGGCCACTGATGAGGAATGCCAGAAGATCCGCGAGAGGATCCTTGAAGGGCCCGTGGAGAACTTTCGGGTACGTGATGACGGTCTTTTATTGTTTAAAGACCGTGTGTGCATACCAAAGAGTGAAGAGCTCCAAAAGTCTATCCTGGAGGAGGCTCACTCTTCGGCATATGCTATGCATCCAGGAGGTACTAAAATGTATCGAGATTTGAAGGAAAGTTACTGGTGGTCGGGTATGAAGAGGGATATCGCAGAGTACGTGAGTCGATGCCTTACTTGCCAACAAGTTAAGGCAGAGCATCAGCACCCGGCGGGGCTTTTGCAGCCACTAACCATTCCAGAATGGAAGTGGGAGCATGTGACCATGGACTTCGTGGTGGGGCTACCACGAACAGTGAACAACTATGATGCAGTATGGGTAGTGGTTGATAGGCTCACCAAAAGTGCACACTTTTTGCCTATCAACATTACTTATCCCCTTGAGAGATTGGCAAAGCTATACACGGAGGAGATTGTGAGACTACATGGAGTCCCGATATCCATTGTCTCGGATAGGGATCCACGATTCACATCTCGATTTTGGCCCAAGTTTCAAGCATCTTTGGGTACTAAACTGAAGTTTAGCACAGCTTTTCATCCACAGACGGATGGGCAATCCGAGAGGGTGATACAGGTTTTAGAAGATATGCTAAGGGCATGTGCTTTGGAGTTCCAGGGGAGTTGGGACAAACATTTGGCTCTAGTAGAGTTCGCCTATAACAATAGTTATCAGGCGAGTATTGGCATGCCTCCATATGAGGCATTGTATGGGAGGAAATGCAGGACACCGTTGTGTTGGGACGAGGTTGGCGAGGCCAAGCTCGAAGGGATTGAACTTGTGGAAATCACCAAGGCTAAGGTGAAGGTCATTCAGGATAGACTCAAGGCTGCCCAAGATCGGCAGAAGAGTTATGCCGACAAACGACGCAGGCCATTGGAGTTCGAGGTCGGTGATAAGGTCTTCCTAAGGATTTCCCCTTGGAAGGGTATCATCCGATTTATATCGCGGGGAAAGCTTAACCCCAGATACATTGGTCCATTTGAAATCCTTGAAAGGATAGGGGCCGTGGCATACCGTCTCAAGTTGACGCCAGAACTTGAGAAGATACACGACGTGTTTCATATATCGATGCTCAAGAAATACGTGAGAGATCCATCTCATATTCTTGGGAAGCCACCGGTGGAGATACGTGAAGACCTACAATATGCGGTGGAACCGGTAAAGATTGTGGGTCAACAGGTGAAGAAACTGAGGAACAAGGAGATTCCTATGGTGAAGGTTCTTTGGAGGAGTGATCGAGTCGAAGAGGAAACCTGGGAGACTGAGGTCTCAATGAGGGAGCAATACCCGTTTCTTTTCGATTAGACACGTGGATTTCGGGGACGAAATCCCAATTAAGGGGGGGTGAACTTGTAACACCGTCCCCAAAAAGTACTTACTTTTAAGTGAATAATGTATTGAACTTATGGAGTGGTTAACGAGTATACGAAGTTGTGAATTTTCATTAATTATTTTGCGTGAATGGTAAATTCGCACGTGGGGCCCACACCGGGAGCGGAGGCCGCCCGATATTCCCGAGTCCGTACATTTTATTCATCTTGGTCAATATAATATTTATATGGTGGTGTATAACTCATTGGTCCAAAGAGATGATATAGAGTTGACCGGTTGATCAAAAAGGCCAAAATACCGGTACTAGTAATTTAACCGATAAAAGCCCGAAATTGAATTTCGGGGACTTATAAATTAAAGTTGGGGTATGAATATTCATCATAAGAGTCATAATGATGGAAATCACATAATATATTTTATTTGACCCGATAAAATAAAATACAGTTAAAACAGTCCGAAAAATACAACTTTCGGGACAAATTGTACACTTCTGGACAAAAAGGGTTGACCTCCCACATGGGTGGGGGCCAACCCACGAATTTGGACACTCAATTAAAGGGGTTGGTCGGCTGGAGGAGTATGGAGAGAGTGGGAGTTGATGGGAAAAGAATCAAACAAATACAAGGTGGGCCCTTTCCACACCACTCATGCATTTGAGACAAAAGAACACCCACCCCCCTTCTCCTCAATCATTTTCGGCCAGCATCCCTCCACCAAGAGCAAGGAAGCTCTCAAACATCTCACCATTGTTGAAGGAAGCTCCACCAAGAAGGAAGCTCTAGGAAAAAGTATAAGCTCCAAAAGTGTACAAAACTTGAGGAAAGGCTAGGTAATGGCTTCACTTACCTTTCTCTTCTCTTTTTCTTGAATACATTATTATTTGAGAAATTATGAAGAACCCTAGGATTGTTCTACATGTTGATAAATGTGGAACAAGGGGTTGGAAGGTGGTTCTATGTCCAAAAATGGATTTAGAAGCCAAACCGACAAGTTCACCGGAAAATAACCTTTTAGAGGTTATGTATATTGATTAAGGTTTTATGATGTTAAAACCTTGTTAGGAACTTGATTTAGAGTATCTTTGAGCTTCGCCGGAGTTTCGCCGGAGTTGGTCAAAGTTGGCCGGAGTTGGTCAAAGTTCGCCAAAGTTCAACCGGGAAGTGTAGAACGCGCTTAAGCTCACTTAAGGTGAGGATGACCGACTATATTGTTTATAATTATTGGGTTAATTTCATAAGATTGCCTAAATGAATTATATGTGTTTGGCATGAGTTATTTATGATTAAGAATGCCTAAAATGGAATATAGTATTGTTCATAAAGAAAATGCATAATAAACAAATTTAAGAATAAATTGTGTATGATTATGTGTTGTGAGTATAATGACCCAATTGTGGTGTAGGCTATAAAATTGTATGGTGATAAATATGCTTTTACCTCATGAAGGGAATAAAAGTGATATTTTGATATTGAATCAAGTTATACTTGAAGGTGAAATTAAATTGAAATGTATGAATTATTATGAAATTGGCGTTGGCTTATTAAGATTAGACGAATAGTATTGAAGACTAGTCGGGGATGTTAGTTCAGTAGTGCTTGGGAGCTAATCCCAAAATATTGAAGCTAAGTAACCTTAAAGGATAATTAGGGTGGACTTTACGAAGTCAAGTTATGTTAGGAGTAGACCTCAAGGGTTACTCAAAAAGGAATGGAGCCTAGGCTAAGAAGTGGTTTAGGGATTAGATGACGTGACTACGAGCCGAGCTCTAGCACGTGGTAGTATGACTATGAGCCGAGCTCTAGCAAAAAAGTAGGAATGACTATGAGCCGAGCTCTAGCAAAAGGTAGTGTGACTATGAGCCGAGCTCTAGCACAAAAATGTAGGAATGACTATGAGCCGAGCTCTAGCGAAATGTGGTGTGACTATGAGCCGAGCTCTAGCACAAATTAACATGACTATGAGCCGAGCTCTAGCATGAAAGAACATAAATTAATTTCAAATAGTAACATCCTAAGTTGAGGGTCTTGGAAATTGAAACTTTGATTATACTTAGTATAGTTGTCATTGTACTTGTCAAATGCTTCCAAGTACTGACCTCCCCTTCACGGGGGAGGCCACCTCACAGTTTCAGGTCGGGATTAAAGCTTGCCGCTACCGCCCGTTGTATCGGAGAATTCAAGAGAAGAAGACGTGGTTCGTGCTCCTTCTGTTTCTGTTTTGAAAACGATTTAAACCATGCTCATGGATATTATTTTTCTTTAATATGTATTTAGGGCTTGTATGCCCATGTTGCCAAAGTGTGGCGTGCACTTTGTATTGAATATTTCCGCTGCTTTAAATGATTATTTTACATTATGTTGTTTATGGATGTACTATGTGTAAATGGTATTCAAGACGCCTAGTATAGTATGGAGGAGTTGGACTGCGGTTGACTATTCGTACCGTACGGCGGGTTGTTGACGTGTCCGGTAGGTCCGGGGCGTGACATCGTATGATTTTGAAAATTTGGGTACGGCAAGGAGAATAGGGAACTATCTGGGGGAGTTCATCACATGGGATGAACAAAAGTTTAGCAGTAAAAAAGAGACTTATATGCGTGTGCGAGTTCATATGAACACTGGTAAAGCCTTAGAGGTAGGAATCACGCTAAGGAAAAGTAAGGGTGAAGGGAACTGGGTAGATTTTAAATATGAAAAGCTGCCAAGCTTCTGTTTTTGATGTGGTATGATCTCGGTCATGCAGAGAAATTTTGCCCCTTGCTGTACGAAAAGGAGGGACAAGCTATGACCAAACCATTTGGGCCATGGCTTAGAGCGAGTGGCAGGAGCTCGAAATTTGAGTTGGGAAGCAAGTGGCTGATAACGGAAGGAAGTTCCTCTGGTGACGATATGCACTTATCTAAGTTGGTGAAATCAGGGCAGGAGTGGGTCCCGGAGGAGAAGGGGGAGAGCATTAAAGTAGATGTGGGAAAGGGGGCGGCCTCAGGCGAGCTTGAAGAGGGTGGACTGATTGGAGAGCTGAAGAGAAGACGCACATGGGAGGACCAGATGAGGGAGGGGGCTGGTTGGGATGCTATGGCGCTGGACTCTCCAAAAAACGGGGATGGGGCGGGCGCAGCTCCCCAGCCCCGCCAGAGGACCTGATGTTGATTACATCTTTTCTAGCTAAAGAACTTTTTTATTCTAGTTATTGTGTTTTGTTTCTTTTCCACATACTGGATGTTGTTTTTGTTTTAATGGTGCTGGGTTTTTCCAGCAAGAATACTTTGGAAGCTAAAACAGGTACTGATGTGTCGTGTCTACAAGTCATAGGCTCAGGTATGCCCAAAGCGGGATCAATGAATTATATGGTTTCTACGGAGGTGATTAATTCAGAGTTTGGTCCTTGGGCGGACGGTAGACAGGAGACTTGTCGGCACACGGTTACCTGGTTTAGTTCGGTTTGTCTGGTCCTTTTTGGTATGATATATTAAGCCAATTTCGTTCAAAAAAAAAAAAAAAGAACACCTGATCACGTATTCACGTTGGCTAATATAAAACCTGAAAGTCTTCACCACATTCATATATAAGATGTATACTTGTTTCTCTCATGGGATCGGTGTCATTCTCGCCGGAATCGCATCCTATATAGCTATATATAGGGGTGTAAATGAGCCAAGCCGCTCGCGAGCTGCTCGTGGATCACTCGGGAGAAGCTCGACTCGAGTTCGGTCATATTAAGCTTGACTCGAGTTCACCTCGACTCGAATAGTTAACAAGCTCAATTCAAGCCTATTTATTTTAGGCTCGTGGCTCGCGAGTCTTTGTGTCATATTTTATATATACAATAAATAGGGAAAAGTATATTAAATGTACTTGTGGTTGGACCCGTTTTCAGATAGGGTCATGTATTTCATTCTTTATCAAAGTGGTTCATGTGTTTGAATTCTGTTATCACAAGAGGGTCACGCCGTTAAAAATGTCTGAAAAAGACCGTTAAAAGTAACTCCGATTTTCAAAAGTGTCCGGAAAATTAAAAGAAATATACCGAAAGGTGTGCCTCGTCAAGATGACCTCCAAACCACCTTCGCATTTGGATTTTTCAGGTTTGTTTGAATTATTTTTTAAAAATGATTTCGCTAATATCACTTTTCCGGTGGACTTTCCAGTGACAAGAGTGGCTGAAAACAAAAAAGAAAGATGGCCTAGCGGCCGTTTTATTGAGGCGCACCTTCTGATATTTTTCTTTTAATTTTTCGGACACTTTTGAAAATCGGAGTTACTTTTAACGGTCTTTTTTAGACGTTTTTAACGGCGTGACCCTCTTGTGATAACGAAATTCAAACACATGAACCACTTTGATAAAGAATGAAACACTACATGACCCTATCTAAAAATGGATCCAACCATAAGTAGTTTTTCCGTACTTTTCCCTAAAAAATATATACTTCGTATGTATTAATTATATATATATATATATATATATACATACATACTTTTTTTGAAATATATATTGTAATTTAGGACTATTCCATTTTCAATGCTTATCATAGAGTACTTCGTATAATAACATGTGCGTATTATTATTATAACCATATAATCTATAATATGTACTCTTAATATTTATTGACACTAAAATAAAGAATAAAAATGTTAGTAAATGAGAGATATACTAAAAATGAGAATGAGTATGTACACATATAATATTTTTAGCTCCAATTCGAGCATTTTATTTGAGTTCAAATCTATGAAAAATAATTAGTGAAACTTGACTCGAACACGAACCGAGCTCAAATTGAGCTCGAGTTCGAGTCCGGATTATTTAACTCGTCCTAGCTCGAATTCGAGCTCGTGAATTGTTATCAAGCTCAAGTAATTGGCTCGTTTGCTAATTAGTCCGTAGTATCTACTCATGTTTTAGAGTTATAATTAGTAAAAAGTTAATTAGGAAACGTGACAAGTGAGAATATGTAAATGCGGTAAAGCAACCAAATATTCATCAGAACAATATAATCACCATTTTATCTTACCTGAGATTAACATACCAAACCGGCTTATAATGACCTGATCCCGGTCAATACGGAGGTATAAAGAATGTGTCTTTTTCTTTCAGCACTAGAGTCTTTTAGAAATCAGAATTTCAGGATTATGTCAAAAGGAGGCTTGCTTATTTGATAGCCAGCTACATCCTACAGCCTAGCCACCCAGAATTTTACTTGAATTTTGGGGTTCATTGTAATAATCCTCCAAATAATAATTTTTCCTTTTTGTGTTTCTTGTATTCTTTATTTCTGGTAAAAGCTTCCCATTCTCCACTTTAATTCACATTTACATTTGATTAGAAGCCAAAAACAAGATCAATATATACCTTTCTGCTAGATTGCGGATTATTTAATTTAATTTAATACTCTCTCTGGGCAGAAAAGAGAGAACCCTGTTTTTGTTTTTGATGCATTTAAGGATTATTTTATTTTACTGTGATGTGTGTCAGCACAGGTGGAATCTGTCACCTCCAACCAATAATTTGATTTCTTTCTCTTGATATATGAAAATCTGGGGTGGGCAATGGATGGAAGAGAGGCGGCGGCAAGAACAGTAACAGAGATGAGTGATTATTGATGATGAAGGAAAGGTGTTTGATGGGGATCCTGTTCTGCCGTCCATTGATGTGCCTCTGCAAATCATCTCCTCCTCAATCCCAGCTGAAGTTGGATAACACCCCCAGCCTCCCTTCTTCAACTGCTGTTTCTGCTGCTGGTGAATTTGCAGCAGAGGTTAGTGAGGAGGTGAAGAATCTGCAAGGGGTTAGTCTCCAATCTGCCATTAATGGAGGCAGTAGAAGCTGCATTAGGAAAGATAGTATTACAAAGCAAGTGGAGATGAGGAGGAAGAAAAGGAAGAGTGTAAGGTGGGTGGATTATAGCATGGGGCAAGAACTTGCTGAGATCAAGGAGTTTGAAAGCAGGTGAGTTTTTGTTGTAAATATTAGTGACTTAAACTAGCTATGTTATTTTTTTTGTTCAACACAAATTCATTTCATTCTCCAAAGTATTGATTTCTCATCATTTTAGATTTGGTTTTTGTTATTCAATATAATTTTCTATCTAGTTTCTAGATATTACAATCACTAAATTTCATTTTTACTCGATAAATCGTTTTTCTTTTGCAAAATAATTTGGGATGAATGTAGGATTAATTTTTAAATACTACATTATAAAAGGCCTAATATTAATGAAATTAGATGACCATTTATGTTCAAAGGATTTTACCTTAGATTTTGCTTTATGACATTGAGTTAAACCTAAGCAAGAATAAAATTGGAAGTTTAGACACAAAGAATTGTATAGATAAACCCTCCAATTAAATTATTCGTTACTAAATAGGGTATAGGTAATGTAAATTCTTCTATTTGATATTTAAATGATTGAAGAACATACTTCCTCCGTTCTTAAATAAGTGCAACACTTTTCATTCTGGGCAGTTTCATTATAAATGCAACACTTCTATATTTGGTAAGAAAAAATAATCACAATGACTATACTACCCCAACACTTCTTTTGTACGCTTAATAAGTCAACCCATCACCTCAAATTAAATCTCCACCCACCCACGATATATCCACCATCCATTTTTCCACTGCGCCTAATAAGCCTTTAAATCTATGAACTAAACCATGTGCTCTATTAGACAGAGATGAGCGAACAAGAAGCCATGAGGAAGAAGCCATGTACTAGTATGAAAGAGAGCTAAATAGGAAATGGAGCACTGCTGGTTTTATTTATTCCCTTTGAAAACCCTCCAACTCTCGTTTCTTGTCCACATACGGACCCCTTTTTCTTCTTCCATGCATCTGGGCATTCATCTTCTTTTCCATCTCTGTTATTTTCTTCTCACGATTTTATAGCTCAATTCAAGAATTTGGATGTTGATGAGCTGAATCGGCACACAAATTATGAATCTCCAGCTTCGAAGGAGTTTTAACATTTGTTGAACCAATATAGTGGCCAATAATACGATTCAGGATATTAAAACTAAATATCTGTAGTTCAAATGATGTTAAACAAATTCAGGAGAGCTGAATCGAAACTAAAATATTGAAAGCAACGATTATTTGGTCTTTCCGGAGTAGAAGCTAAACCAGCAGAGAGAAGAAAAGTTGGGAAGTGAAAGAGATAACTATGTCAGATATGCCTGCTAAAAGCAAGGGCGAATTCGGTAAAAAAGATGTCCGTATAGGTTTCTTAAATCCTGTGCCCACATGCTAGGTTGCATTTATAACCGAACGGAGGATAGTACTTGTTAAGATTTTGAGGCTTATCGTATGTCAACTTGATATGAGGATTAGTCCAATATCTTATACGGAGTATAACGTCTTGTTGTTTTATATTGAGACAAATACTTCAGGGAAACTGTTTTTGAGTTTTTTATTCCTCTATTTTGTTGTATTTTTGTTATCTTATCTTCTATCTTTTGTTTCTTGGTTAGTCCTTCAGTTTTTGAATTCTCTATTTCATAGTATATTCTAAATTGTAAAATATTTTTTACACACATATATCTAATACCCCCTCCGTAACTCATTATTGTCAGAATGTGGTTCTTATAGTAGCTCTAGATGATGATACTATGATAGGTGAACTTTAGTGCTTCCATTGAGCTATATTACCTTGCTTAAATGAAATCTCAAATCTTAATATGGAATTAGAGTTTATTGAACTTTGTTCCCATGAATTACCACTGAACACCCATACTTCAAAAGTGGTGGTGTACAATGAGCTATATCCATGTAAAGGCTTATGTCACTGCTTGTTTTATATTCATAATGTAGCATTGCTCTATTTTGACATGAACAAGTGTGCAGCGAAACAGGTGACAGTGATAACGAAGAGGAAGAACGACAATGTTTTTGCTTCATTCTATGATGTTATTAACTGGCTTCCTCTGGCTACAAAATTAGTTGGACATATTTCTGAGCAGAAGAGTAGCTAGCTCATCAGGAACCAGCACTGTTTCTGATATATAGAAGAGCTGGGATATCCTTCCAAGTAGGAAGCGGGTTTCGTGTGAAAGTTCATTCAAAGCCATTTTTTGAAGCTAAAGCTCAATTGGGAAGTGATTTTTCTGGATTAGCTGTTTGCTGCTGTGCACTAGAGTGGAGCTTTGACATCTTTCTTTGTGCAATTATTGTTAGATTCTATTCCGTTTGAAAAATCCTTAGGCTACCATTCATGTAAGTGGATGGTTGTTATCCTGTACAGATCAAGAGCTACAAAGAACAGTTCATTGTGCAGTAATAAAGATGTAAACCTTTTAGTGTTCTGACCTTGTAGCAATGAAATCATCACAGTACCATGTGCAAACCAAGCTTTCTTACATGCAATGAGTTGGTTACCACTGAAGTTGGAAGCTGACAATGGTGGAATCCTTGTGGCAAAATAATTCTGAAAATGTACTACTCCGATCCCACAAGAGAAACTAGTATACATCACATACATTAATATTGACTTTCAAACGGCCTCAAGCTATTGGTGCATGAATATTATACTACACTTGTTGACATTATATTATTTGCCGATAGAGTTGAGTGGTGTGTAGCCAATTAAGGACATATTTGTAACTCTAGATTTAGGGGGTGTTTGCATCTAATTCTTAACACTGCTTCTGCTCCTTTAGGGAGTATAAGCAGAAGCTGGAGTGTTTGGGTGAAAATATAGAAGTGATTCTAGTGCTCTAATTTACTCATAGAATCAATTTTTTTAGAAGTTGGGGGTGACAGCTTCTGAAAACTAATTCTGATTCAGCTACTACTTTAAAAAAGAAACATTATAAGAATCAGTTCCAAACACCCCCTTAATTATATATGCGCGCTCTTCTAAATCACTAAATTGACATGCTATGCATTCTCATTTAGTAGTGTTGTGAGCATTAACAGAATAACAGAATCACGTATGTTGAGTGAAATGCATAAATAGTACATTAACTATTGGTATTGTTGCATTTTGCCATCTTAACTTTTAAATGAATCAAATAAATACCATAATTATACACAAATGTTTCAATTTAGAATATTATTCAAATTTGCGACCAAAAAATAAATCTACATGGGGATCAAAATTTCGTGTGTAGAGTCTACCCTATAGTGATATCATGGACAAAAGTAAGGTGAAATGGACTTTATGCATAAAATTCTGGCCGCCACATGATTTTTTGGCAAGAAATTTGATTAATATTGTGAATTGAAACATTTATGTATAGTTTTGATACTGATTTGATTCATCTAAAAGTTAATGTACCAAAACGCAACAATATCAATAGTTAATATCACGTATGTTTTACTTCTATTGCAAATTTATTAATACATTGCATAAGTAGACTATTATTTGTATAAGAATGCAATATTTTGTTTTTAAAAGAATGCAATATGCTCACGATGGGAGTGTATAATAAATGGGAAAGGAACGTATATACCCTTGAACTTTAGGGCTGGGAACATATATACTCTTATTAAATTTTTTGGAACAAAAAGCTGATAAAACTAAAAATAGGGTACACATCTGCCCCTACTCACGTTTTAAGACATTCCCGTCTGGCCCAAACTAACCTAACGTTAATATCCCCCTTTAGTTCTTCGGTTCTTCTTGCCTTCTCCTTGTTCTTAGCGGCTTAGCGCAACAACAAACCCTTTGTAGAGGATAGGAAGATGAAACATAGGTATCGTAAATCACTGTACTGAGAAACAACAGTGGTACATGCGTAGCAAATTAGTTGTTAAGGGTTCTGTCTTTACCTGATTTTTATATGTAGAACAATAGAAATCAAATATTCAGATTTGTGTCCAAATCAATTTTCTTTGAGGAAATAGCTTTGTACCTGGATTTACTCTCGCTAGTTTTTGAAACTTCAAAATTGTTAAACTATGTCATCCCTATTTTCCAAATATAATTTTCTGGAAATAGGTCTGCTTTACGATAGTGAAGATCTTGTTGACAAATTTGAGGAGGAATAAGACATTAAGAATTACTAATAATAGAAGGGAGAAGCTCCAGTTAAGGATCCTGGTCTGCTTTACGATAGTGAAGAAATGCTGAAATAGATAAGGTTGCTTCTGTGGTGCTAAGATGGAGAAGACAAGTAACGGTTAGGTTACCTGGATCTAACGGGGAAGTATTAAAATATTAGGGAGAATATATTTGTAGCCTATTTTTAGTTTTACCAGCTTTTTGTTCCAAAGAATTTAACACGGGTATATACGTTCTCACTTCTCAGCCCTATAGTGCAGGGTATATACGTCACTTTTTCCTATAATAAATACACTCAATCGTTGTTCAATTATCATTTGAAATTTGTAAATGAATTCTCGATGAACAATTTGTACAAGACACAAATGAATGTGATTCAATTATCATGTGTTTTGTACTTTTGTGTAGTGAAGTAAACGTATGGTGCATGAAATTGTCAACATCATTACAAACTAATAGTGAATGATAATAAAATTTGGATAATGATTTTAATTTTTATCATATAAAACTTACGGAGTATAACTTTTCTACTTTTATATAACAACTTTTGACAAAGAACATTTTTACATATAATTTTCAGATTTGAAATAATTTCGTATTAAAAAATATCATGAACAAACTGAATCATTATTTATCAAGAAAAGTCATCCAAGAAACTTAAAAAATATTCCTTCCCTTTCCCAAAACTAAGTTTTATTGGTATTGCATAATTCGCCAACGTGATGGGTGTTCGGATTGCCCATTTGCACTCTTTCAAGTCAGTCCGATTTTTTCAAATAACTAAACGTACTGGTCTGGTCTGGTCTGGTCTGAACTGGACTGGTCTGGTCTGGTTTCTTTGTATCTTTATAACTATCTAAGTCTGGTCTGGTCTGGTCTGAACTGGTCTGGTCTGATCTGGTCTGGACTGGTCTGGTCTGGTCTGGGACAAATTACAGTCCAAGTAAAAACATCCTTAATATGATGAAGACTTTTTTGTATGGGATTCCCAGTAATCCAGTTTAAATCCACAATTGTATTCATTATCTCAAAAAATACAAATCTTAATTTAGAGTTCAGTGTTTCCGATTTCATATTGATATAAAATGATGTAATATTCCACCAAAGTCAACTGGGAATATTTTTGTGGGGCATATATATAAGTATTACTGAAACTTGGTTAAAAAGTATTTTTAAAAGTCAACAGGAAATTAAAAAGTAATTAAAAAGTATGTGGGCATATGTAAAAGTAATTTTAATTTACAGAAATTGACTTTTATAAATGTCACACCTATCTGAGGCATATACTAGTACTACATGTGTTATGGCGTCCTAGCTAAGGTTTCTTATTCGAAACCCGCTAGACACATTTAGGAGTGATGAGGGAGGCCTTGCTCCCAATGATTCTTCCTACCATCACGAAATTGCTTAGCACCCAGGGGCGAAGCTAGTGCACTGGCCAAATTGGGTCGGTACAAAAAATATTTTTGAAAATTTCTTTACACGAATTTTTTTACACTTAAAATACAAGCATTTTTAAAATTTGGGCTGGACCAGGGCCAGGGATGATGCCCCTCCCCTAGCTCCGCCCATGTCAGCAGCTAAGAGGGGAGATGATGGTAAGGTAACGGGTTTGTGTGGTGGAAGCAGCCTGGAAATAAAACGTGAGCTAGATTCGTCCTCTGGGCTTAACTGTCTACGGGCTTTGGGGTTAGTTCATAGACTCCGGGATTATAAAAAAAAAGTAAGTAAAACGTAAAAAATCAAAGCAGCTCAAGAAACTGACAATTACTTCAGATTAAAAATAAGTATAAACCTTCAATGCAGTATAAAAATCAATGCAGGACGGATTGATTCACTTAAAAATCAATCTTTCTAGTCCAATTTGGACTTTAGAGCAACCAAAACTACTTTGGATCTATTGAGGTTTAGAAAATTGAAATAACCAACAAAATATAGTCCAGTGATCTGACTCAATTCTTACGTCTTGATAGACCCCTGAGGAGAGAATAAGCAAGATTGCAATAGAGGTAGAGTGAACGTTAAGACATTGCTCCATCTTCACCTGGCGCAGTTAACCCAATTTCCTCTCCATCGCCTTTGAGAAATCCCCCAAAAGGTGTACAAGGCTGTAAGCAGTAAGCTGGCTTCTACCTTTCCAACTGAGCAGAGTCAAGCCACTATGGACTGTTGGAAAAGCCAGAAACTTCACCTTAGTCAAAACTGCGAAGTCTTTTAAGGACATAATTTTATATTTTTAGAAATACTCAACTCATAATAAAAAGTAAATATAGAGCCCGTTTGGAGAACTCTGTTTTCGGCTTATCAAGCTTATCAGCCAGCTTTTTCACCAAACACGTAACTTTTACTTTCGCGCGCTGAATTGTGTAATAAGCCGAAAAAGTAAGGTTGGAGTTACTTTTCTGGCTGTATTGGCTGAAGTTACTGTAGAGGACCATTTTAGCTATTTTTACATATAATTTTTTCTTTAATTTATTAATAAAATATATTTTTAAAATATTTTTTTCTTAAATCAGCAGAATCAGCCAAAACAGCCACTCCAGCCAGAATATCATAAATTTCAGCAGAATCAGCCAAAACAGCCGATTTTGGTGCTACCAAACGGGCTCATAAAATTATGTCCTTAAACAGGCACTCCCATCAAACAAGAGAGTATGACCAAGCCTAGTTGTAACTTGTAACTTGCAAGTAGCAAAAGCATTTCCAACTTAATATACGTATAGGTCTCTAAAGAGAACAGAAGTAAAAGTACCACCAAAGTCCATACTTTCATCTAATACATACTAGGATTTCAAGGATATGACATTAATGACAAAGCTTGGCAAAGCAAACACCAAACTATAAATATATAATAAAGATCTCGACACTAAAAAAACAAATCGAAAAAGAGCAAAAATAAACTGCAAAAACAAGGACGGGGCAGCAAATGCCACATTGGAAGCTAGGTCAACAGAGAAATAACCCATCAGGCGGAAAATTGATCGAGGCTTTATATCCCCTATAAATCCTTGAGAGAGCTTTAAGAAATCAGCAGCAGGAGATATGCAGATTTCTTGAGACACTCCCAGAAATGGATTCCTTCAGAAGCAATTCTGTGCTTACAGAGAGATATAAGCATGCCCAAAAGTTTACGCCTTCTTCAAATCACCACTGAAGCACTATTGCCCGTTTTTTATATAAAGTTCAGATTGGGCTTCTCTTGTACACGAAGATTGGAGCTAGCAACCATTTACCACAACATCTGCACTCTTGCTGTTCGCTACTGATGCAACTTCCTGATTAGCACCCTTCACATCTGACTTGGCTACTGTTTCTAGAGATTTGGAGTCACCAATGTTCATTGGTGCAGCAGTAGTTTCTTCCTTTACTTCAATTTCAGTTGATGTTTGAGACTTGATTTCTCCATTCGCTGCTTCTTTGTTATCGTAGGTTACTTTACCCTCCCATACCTGTTGCATAGGCACACTGTCACAGGTCCATTTGATACTGGGGAATAAAAAAGGGGAAGATAATTGGAAGGAAAAAAATATATGAAAATGAACAATAAGCCCATATTTATTTGGAATGTTCATTCAAACTCATTTATTTATTTATTTATTTATTTATTTATTTGTAGTATTATGTAATCATGACACATCTTGCTTTCCATTTCCCAGGGTAAGAACAATCATACAAGGTAAAATCATGATACACCTTTGTAATTCCGTGCCATTTTTTGTTTTTGCATGGCATTTATCAGGATCTAAATATACCCTTAGTCTTGAAGACGATTACTTATAGAAGCATTTACAGTACCTGTTTCTGGAACAGCTGTTTAG